ACAAAAAAGGAAGGCACCGTTGTTACCCGAACACACACCAGCGTCTACGGAAAGGCTTGCCAGGGCCCAGGACTTGTTCTTTTGACTTTTTACAGCACAAATTTTAAATGAGTCATCAATAGGGGAACTACACTATGCAGTCTGCTTGACATTGGAAAGTTAGGATTTGGGGAATGAACCATCTACACAAGTCTGAGACAGCCAGCTGCCCAGGACAGAGATAATACAGGTCCCATGGGTAGCTATATTTTCCTTTTTTTTTTTTTTTTTTGAGATGGAGTTTCGCTCTTGTTACCCAGGCGGGAGTGCAATGGCACGATCTCGGCTCACGGCAACCTCCGCTTCCTGGGTTCAAGCAATTCTCCTGCCTCAGCCTCCTGAGTAGCTGGGATTACAGGCACATGCCACCATGCCCGGCTAATTTTTTGTATTTTTAATAGAGACGAGGTTTCACCATGTTGACCAAGATGGTCTCGATCTCTTGACCTCGTGATCCACCCGCCTCAGCCTCCCAAAGTGCTGGGATTACAGGCTTGAGCCACCGCGCCCGGCCCGGGTAGTTACAGTCCCCACTTGTCTGCCATCAGTCCTGAGGGTAGTTGGGTGCAGCTCCTTCAGTTGGAGAAGGGGTGGGCTGGGGTGCAGCGCTGCCTAGATAATTGTTCAAGAAATCCACAATAAGTACCCAGGGTCACTTACAGACAGTACTGCTCACTGCACAGGAACTAAGCAGTGGGCAATAACAATGGTGTTGAACAAGCCAGACATCTTCCTTATGAAACGTTTTGGAGTTAGGTTTTGCAAATACCAAAGTCCCGGCAGGAAACAGCACAAATGTGGTAACTGAGGACAGCTTGTTAAAGGAACTGTTCACAAACAGGTGGGCAGCCATAAGTAAAATCAACAAGAGACAGTGACGCGTCCTCGGTCTAGCAGCAGGAGGAAGCCATTACCACCTCTAGGCCTGAAGGGGCAAGGCAAGGGACATGGTTACCAAAACCCTGAGACGGCTCGAGCTGTGGCAGGGGCTGAGGAACAGATGGTGACCTTCAGGGCTTTGGCTGTAGGTATGCAGCTACTTCTAACCTGCAGTCCTGCAGAGAGGGGACTGGGAGAATAAATACCCTGATCTCACTCTTCCACCTTCCAATCCCCTGGTGATGCTCCCATTGGCAAAACTCAACCACAAGTCAGAGGGCAAAAAATGTGGCAAAACCAGGTGATGGGGACCACAGAGGTTGGCACGAGACCTAGCAGAGAAGGAGAGGGAGTGAATATGAGGGGTAAGCGAAAAATGACCACATACTAAGGAAGACAGGAAGCAGTGGCAATTTTTGAGAGGTTGGCTTAGGAGAGCTAAGGAGGTAAGAGGCTGATTACAGAGCTGGAGTGGGTAAGGAGAGATGAAAAGAGAGCGACTGCTTTTTCAATATTTTGATCAGGAAGGAAAGCAAAAAGTCACAAAATTATCTTAAAGAGATCTCTGTAGTAGGGAATTTCTGGTTTGGAAAAAGGACTTGACTTTCATCTGAAAAGCAAAAGGATCCATTTTAAAGGGAGCGACTAGAGAAAAAGGGACAAAATACGGACCCAAAATGAGATATGATAGAGTTTTGAAACAAGTATTAGTGCTATATGCATATTCTCCAAATAGCATTATACCAACTGTTTTCTGGCAATCATTATCCCAGCCCACAATAATTACTCACTCTTAGAATGTATACTATAGCAGTTTTACTATGCTATGTTCTAAGTGTGTTTTATTAAGGTAAGACTTCGCAATGTTCTCACATATGACTTGAACAGACTACAGTACTTGGTTGAAATGAGAAGACCACATTTGAGGATTAGGTAAAGGTTAAGAAAACTTTAAATACGTTTCAAAATTGGTTACCTATGGGAATACTTTCTTTGCTAAAAATAAAATATGTAACCAAGGAAGGCAATTACTTACAAATTAAATTGCTTTTAGTCTTTTTTCATTCTACACCTATCGAGTTTCAAGGATCTCAAGGCAAGAAACAATGAGCAGTCTAAATTTGATCTCTATAACTATGAGATCTCTCATACCATTTAGGAGCATACTGAATTGTTCCTGCCTGATCGTCTTAAGATCATGGGTATCACTTAATACATTGAAGACTTCAGGAATAACAGTGTTTGAATTACTAATATGTCACTAATCTCATTAACAGCACTATGTTGTTCATTGTTGAAGAACCTCATCATATTTAAAATAACCCAGAGGCCGGGCGCAGTGGCTCAAGCCTGTGATCTCAGCACTTTTCGAGCCCAAGGTGGGTAGATCACCTGAGGTCAGAAGTTCGAGACCAGCCTGACCAACATGGTGAAACCCCATCTCTACTAAAAATGCAAAAATTAGCCAGGTGTGGTGGTAGGCTCCTCTAATCCCAGGTATTGCAGAGGCTGAAGCAGGAGAAACCCTTGAACCCAGGAGGCAGAGGTTGCCATGAGCCAAGATCATGCAACTGTACTCCAACCTGGGCAATAGGAGCGAGACTCCATCTCAAAACAATAAAAATAAACAATAATAACAATAAAATGAGCCAGAGACACAGGAACCACGAAGAATGGAGTAGAAATGTTTACTCACCCTAAGAACACAGTTAAAATTTGTCATTATTCATTGCCAAATATTGCCACACTGGACCATCAATACCCATTATAAAATTATCTAGCCCTTTCCTGAGTGTTTTTCTGGTATAAAAGCATGTTTCATTTTAAACATCCAATATTTGGTTTAACTGGTAAAATTATGAAAATGCCCCTCTTCAAGAGAACCTGATTTTATTTATAAAGCGTTGTGCAACTCACAGGTTTACAGATATGTAGATTGGAAAACTTTCTTTAGAACAGGAATCAACTGAATTGATCAAGTAATATCAGGCTACCCCATATTTCAATGTGATGTGGTAAAAGTCAGTGATCTTTTACAAAAATAACTGTAAACTACAAGACCCATATGCTTCCTTTTCTCTTCCAGTCCTAAAACAATAGACTACGATAACAAATGGAATTTTGCAGGCTTTTGTTAGAGGCCTTTATCTTCAAAAGAGACCTAGGAAGGAAGACTTAACTGACCTTTCCACGTAAGAAAGCATATCACCTACTGAGATTTGTCTTACTTGTTGGCACCTATCTACAAAAGAAATGGGAGGCTAAAATCAGCTTCAACTTGTGCAAATTAAAAGTAACCTTCGGGCTAATGGGTTTTCAACACCACTCCTTACTGAGCAAAACATTTGTGTCCCATAAAATTAAATTACCTCCTCAAAACTGACTTCTCTAACAAATTACACGTCACATTTTTTAAAGTAAAATTGTAATTCCTACAAAACAATTCCCTTCTCCCTGAGGTAACCTTCTGTTACTGTTAGAATTGATTCCGTCTTTAATGGAGTTCTCCATCTCGTTCTGGGGTCCAAAACCAAAAAACGGGAGAAGAAAACCTAAAAACTGTCAAGCAAATGGCAGCAAAATTAAAGGCCTGAAAAGTAAACCAAATCTTTGAGAAAACTCGAACTCCATGTTAGAGAAATAAATGCTTCATCATTTCACCAAACACTAAATTCAAGGAATGAGGAAGGGTCCTTACCTCGAAAAAGGTGACCAGCTATTTTCAGTTTCTTGGGAGTAGCAATTAGAAGGAAACAATGAAAAAAAAATTAAGCACTGTAATGAGTTTCTAGGGTGATGGCTCTTGTTTTAACTCTAGCAATCACTAAAAAGTGACTACATTTTCACCAACTGAAGAAATTTTAATATGGTCCTATTTAAATAGAGTTGCATGCATTATTTGTACTGAGAACTAGACTTGCTCCTTCAGAAGTGAAAATATCAAGGGAAACAGTAAATAAAACCCACTCAAAAAGATGGACCATACATTTACCAGACTAGAAACGACTCATCTACACAAGTTGACAGTACGAATTGTATACTTTGAACTATGAGACAATTTGAAGGAAAGGCACAATTATCGTGAGGTTATATAAAGTAAATATGTTAAATTCGGTCTAAAAGACAATGGACTAATATAATATAAAGGAGAGGATCATGATGAAATATTATCCTGGCAGCTGTGTACAGGATGGACTGACTTCAGGAGAAGCACAGCATCAATACTAACACCAATAATATCAAACAGACCATTACTAGCTGTCAAGGCTGATAAATACATTTTCACATATATATATAAGCCAGTTAAATCCTCACAGTCATGTTTTGAGGCCAATACCGTTATCTCATTTAACAGATGGGGAAACCGAAGCACTTAAATAATGTCTGATTTTTACAATAAGTGTCCTGCATAGCAGCAACCTCCATGCAGGTCAATACAAGCCACGTACATTTCCTTTTCAAAGCAGACGCTGATCTTCCAAAGAAGTCAAGAATACTCATGCTGCCATGTGATATTTCTTGTAGTTTTTCAATGTTTTTGTTGTGGAACACTTCAAACATACACAAAAATAGAAGGAATACTATACTAACTGAATCCCTTTATTCACATACCTAATCTGGATTCATCTATTATGCCTCCACTCATTTCCTTTGTCTCTCCCTCATTATTTAATTATAAAATTTCATCACCACTAAATTGTTCAGTATGTATCTCTAAAAGATAAAGACATATTTTTCCTTCTAAACTTGACCACAATACCATCATGATACTTTAAAATTTACAATGATTGCTTAGTATCAAACATCAATCAGTGGTTAAAGTTGTAATATATATCTTACTTTAATATTTGTTGAAAGTTGCCATGTGTCAGCATTAGGCACTTTGACATATACCATTTCATTTAAATTACTGCTACTCGAATTGCGTTTTCCTCTCTTTCACTCCCACTGAAAGGAACGACTGTCTCTCCCAGAGGATTCAGAGACTCCGCAGCACGCTGCTGTCGGCCACCCTCCCGGCCTCCTGTTCCTGGGCGTGGTCCCCAGCCCTGTCCCCGGGGGGCGGAGCCTCGGGCCCGCCGCCGCCGCCGACTTCCGCTGGGATCTGTTCCCGGGCCCAGGGACGCCGCCCCCACCCCAGTTGCCTAGGCGACGAGGGGCCGCGCCTCCGGGCCGAGATTGCGGCGATGTCGCAGGGGACGACTCCCTGGGGGCCGACCCCGGCTGGGCCGACCCCAGCGGGAACCACGCCCGAATCGGAGGTACGCCGCCCCTTTCCCTTCCCGGTCCAGTCGCGGGTCCCAGCGGCCTCCCAGCGCCCATTCGCCGCCCTCGGGGTCCGCGGCCGAGCCGAGTCGGGTCCCTGAAGAGGCGCCGCCCGTCCGGCGCCAGGCGGGGAAGCGGCCTAGGAAGGCGGCGGGGCTGGGAGCTGCCCGGGAGCGGCGCGGGGGTCCCCGACACCCTCTGCTGCTCGGTGTCCCCCAGCCGGCCCCGGCGCGCCGCACACGGTGCCAGCGAGTCTTAATTGTATGAATTCTTCCATTGGACGGCTCCGTACCCCAACGCCCTCGTAACCACGCGCTTCTACCGCAGTTTTTTTTTTTTTTTTAATTCTAAGTAAAATAAGTGATCTCAGATTTTTAAATGGACCAGTCCCTTTTTGAAATTGCTACTAATTCTTTAATGATCACCGTTGCGATTGCTCAAAAAGTGTCATGAAATAATAGCTGTTTACTGGTGATGGACTGATTACTATTAGAAGGTTTGATATTTCCATTATTTTGCCATTTTTCTAAACAAATAGATGCAGGTCAGAGGACAGTGGCTGAAAATCGGTCTTCTGGTTGTGGCTTTACTTGCTCATCAACTTGACTTTAGGAAAGTTATTTAAACTCCTTGGACACCAGTGGCCTCCTGTGTGACAAAAGGTTGCTCTTAAAGAGCCCCTCCCATCACCAAATCTCAATAATGAGTAGGTTTTAAGTAATTTTACTCATAAACTTAATATCCTGAGTTTTTAAGAACACATCTGCGTTGCCAGATATTACCAAAAAAAAAAAATGCTTGTGTCTTGGCACACAGAGTCTACTGTTATTGTTCCTAGGAAGTTTTTTTTCTCTCGGTTTTGTTAAGGTTCTAAAGGTGAATAATCATGTCTGAATTAACATTGCTTTGCTTGACTTCCTTATTCGTTGATCTAAACAACATTCTTTGTGCAGAAGATAAGTATTAGCTGCAACTTTATAAATGAGGAAACACAGAGAGCCAATAATTCCATGCCTGGCTCAGAGATATGTAAGCTGTTCCCAATTGAGATTCCTACTAATACTAAACACAGATCGCTAAGGCATGTGGACTCTCATATGAGCCTTTTGAAATTAGCAGACATTTAAAGTACATTTTAATGTGATAAACTGGTTACTAAGCCAATTACTCCCTTGTGATCTGTAATGTAAGTAATACAATTTCAAAAGTAGCATAGGAGATTTTCCAATTAACTTGTGTTATTTAAATAATATCAAGCATAAGACAATGCACAATTGTCAGTGTGTACACATACCTTACCCATGTAGGTCATGTCCTTTCCAAAAAAAACTGATCATTCAGTGTTTTAATGAATCTGCACTTTAAAAAAATATGTAATTTTTTTAAAAGATGAAAAGAAGTGCTATGCTTCAGGAAAAAATATCATTCTATAATGGTTGAGTCAGATGAATGAGTTAGTTATAGACCTGAGATGATTATCTACCTCTTAGGATTGTCAGCTTGCGCATTTGTCAACTTCTTGGGGGAGCAAGTATTCTCATGACATGTAATTCAGGATGTGCTCAATCACTTAATAACAAACAGAAGAAATCAAGTTGTAATAGGGACTCAATTAACAGTGCTCATTTACTAAGATAACAGCTAATTTACTGCTTGGTGGAAACTCCATTTTTCGTTTTAATAAAAGCAGAGTTCCTGAAGTTCATGGGGAATATAGTTGATCCATAGATCTGTGTCATTCTTTAAAACAAGTCCTTCCTGCCACCCATTTGTGCTGATTGGGGGGGTTCAGATGTTAGATAGATAAGATGGCAAGATTTCTTTTGTGGTCTGTTCCCAAGGCCACCACTTTTTAGGTAAATACTGAAAGGTTCTTTTGAGATCAGATTCTTTACAGTGTTGATCCCCCAACAACTAATCCCTTATGGTGTCTTTCTAATAAATTCTGTATCCGAAATGACTTATCCAGTAGCCCATGTAGTCAACTGAGCCAAACAGTACTGAATTATTTCCTTTCTTGTCCAGTCTATCAGAAATAAAGCATAAGTTTCCAGTAATCTAATGTTTCCCATTTATTGCTTGTGGCCAATACCTAGAAGTAATTATCCCAATCACGTAGTAGGCACTCAATAAATTGTGATGACTAAATAAAATCATGGGTGGTCTGAGGCATGCCAGGAAAGGTAGTTATCATAGATTAAAATCTACTGTATGAGTTACTGTGAACAAGCAGGTATGAGATGCAGATCCAGGGAAGTAATTTTTTCTGTCACATTGACTAAGTCCTGCTTGCCAGCCTTCTGAATTCAACATCCAGAGTTCTTTAGTAATATTGGAGGAAATGCCTCCCTTTAAATGGTAAGACTAAACTTTTGGCAGATATCTGTATAAATGCATAACAGAAAAAAAAATGACAAAAATCTGCAAATAAATGTTTGTTACGCATAGATCTGTAAGTGAAAGGAGTTTATAAATGTGTACCTGGAATTTAGTGATCAGTCTTGTATCAATAATTTGTTCATCTATAGACTTTCTTAATATCTTCAAAAATATCTAGGAAATGGAATCATAAGTAGTACACCTACAAGGAATATGCTTCCACTTCCATCAGAGACCTAAAAGAAAATGCAAATGGTTGTTTCCCAATTTCTTCTTCTGAATAATGTCTCTGAAAGTGTTACCACACCCAATAGGTGACAGTTACTCAGTGCATTCAGGGCTTTGTCAGGACAGGATGTTTATATAATTTTGAGGGAAAAGATGATGCAACTTGTCTAGGAGATCTTCAACATATCCTGGAGCAAGCCATAGACAATTCTCTCTACATTAGGTGTTCCTACAGACTGTAGAAAACAGACCCCACTCAATCATCACAGAGAAAACTCAGGGCTCAACTGAGCAGCAAAATGATCAGTTTCTTGCAACATCAATGTCATTAAAGAAGTATTTCTTGAAATTATGAATCATTCAACATAAATGAACACAGTGTGATCACATAGTACAGATCAACCTGTGTAGGCTATGGGGACGATGCCAAAAAAGTCCCTTAAAATATTGTTGAGAAAACTGTACTAATGGACCTCCAAATGTGACTACACAGTAGTCGTATTTATCAGACACTTAGAACCTGTAGCAAATTCTGGCTGTAGCATGGAGATGTTAGCAGAACTTAGGCTTGTCATTCTTACTGTTAGTATTTGGGTTCACTGTCTTGTTTAAAATGTCCTGCTCCTCCTCTCCCTTCTATCTTCCTCCCTAGGTGACACAAATAATCTTCAAAATTTTTCTCGTATTTAAAATTTTATTTTTCTATGAAGTTTGTTCTTTAGCAAGTCTAGTATTTTTTTATTTTTATTTATATATATATTTTATTGCACTTTAGGTTTTGGGGTACATGTGAAGAATATGCAAGATGGTTGCATAGGTACACACATGGCAGTGTGGTTTGCTGCCTTCCTCCCCATCACCTGTATTTGGCATTTCTCCCCATGTTATCCCTCCCCAACTCCTCACCCCCGACTGTCCCTCTAGCTAGTTCTCCCTCCCCACAGACCTGAGTGTGTGATGCTCCCCTCCCTGTGTCCATGTGTTCTCATTGTTCAACACCCGCCTATGAGTGAGAACATGCGGTGTTTGATTTTCTGTTCTTGTGCCAGTTTGCTGAGAATGATGGTTTCCAGGTTCCTCCATGTCCCTACACAGGATATGAACTCATAATTTTTTATGGCTGCATAGTATTCCATGGTGTATATGTGCCACATTTACGCTGTCCTGTCTATCCTTGATGGGCATTTGGGTTGGTTCCAAGTCTTTGCTATTGTAAACAGTGCCAAAATGAACATACATGTGTTCTTATAATAGACCAATTTATAATCGTTTATATATATACCCAGTAATGGAATTGCTGGGTCAAATGGAATTTCTACTTCTAGGTCCTTGAGGAATTGCCACATTATCTTCCACAATGGTTGAACTAATTTACACTCCCACCAACTGTGTAAAAGTGTTCCTATTTCTGTAAATTCATCAGACTTATTCTCTATCCAGCCTTGTTCCCTAGCTGGTGAGGAGTTGTGATCCCTTGGAGAAGGAGAGGCATTCTGGGTTTGGGTGTTTCCATCTTTTTGCTCTGGTTTCTTCCCAACTTTGTAGATTTATTTACCTGTGGTCTTTGTAGTTGGTGACTTTTAGACGGGGTCTCTGAGTGGATGTCCTGTTTGTTAATGATGAAGTTATTTGTTTATGTTTCTTAGTTTTCCTTCTAACAGTCTGGCCCCTCTGCTGTAGGACTGCTGAGGTCCGATCCAGGCCCTGCTTGCCGGGGGATCACCTGCAGCGGCTGCAGAACAGTAAGGGCTGCTGCCAGTTTCTTCTTCTGCTATCTTTGTCCCAGAAGGATACCTGCCAGTTGTCAGTCTGAGCTCTCCTTTATGAGGTGATTCTTTGGATATACAGGGGATGGGGAGCTGCTTCAGTAGACAGTCCGTCCTTTATTGGAGCTCAGGTGCTGAGCTGTGAGCTCCGTTATTCCTTTCAGAGCTGCTGGGCAGGTATGTTTAAGCCTGCTGCAGCAGAACTCGTAACCGCCTTTTTTTCCCCCCAGGTGCTCTGTCCCAGGAAGGCAGGGCTTTATTTATAAATTTCTGTTGGGCTGCAGCCCTCTTTCAGGGATGCCGTGCCCAGCGAGGAGGCAGCCTAGTCACAGTCTGCCAGCAGAGGCTTTGCTGAGCTGCTGTGGGCTCCGCCCAGCTGCCGTGTGAACTTCCCTGCAGTCCTGTTTACAGGGGCGTAGCCTCGGCAATGGCGGCCCACCTCTGTAATGGCGGACTCTCTCTGTAACGGCAGACTGCCCGGGCAGTGGCGGGCTGCCTCAGTAATGGCGGACGCCCCTCCACCACAGAGCTGGACCGTCCCAGGTTCAGCTGTGCTTGCTGTGAACCTCTCAATCCAGAGCGTTTCCGATTCCTGGTCTTTGTAGGGCTGGGACTGGCCGAGC